TCAGCCGGAACAGCATGCAACTCTTGATCTCAGGGTTGTGAGTTTGGGTCCCACAATGGGTGTAGAGATTACTTAAATAAATAAAACTTAAAAAAAAAAACAAAACAAAACTGTATTGAGCTTGGGTGGCTCGGTCGGGTAAATGTCCGACTCCTGGTTTCGACTCAGGTCATGATCTCATGGTTCATGAGCTCAGGCCCAGCATCAGGCTCTGTGCTGACAGTGCAGAGCTCTCTCTCGCTCTCTCTGGCCCCCTTCCGCTCACATGCGCGTGCCCTCTCTCAAAATAAACATTAAAAATTGTTTTTAAAAAGCTTTACAGAAAATAAAATGTTTTAACCTAGTTCAGCCCAAGGATTCCTGAGCCTCTTTGACCAGTGTTGTTGGGGATGCTGGCCGAGGGAAGAGCAGGGCCTCGAACTCAGGAGGAAAGGGCTTGAGCGGTGACCCCAATCCGAAGGCAAGTTACTTAACACCTCCAGATAAACGTTCCTACCTCCAAACGGAGAATGAAGGACAACATGAGGCACATAGAACGTTTGCAGGGGCAGGTGAGTCACTGAAAAGATGTGAGAGCATCTCTGCCCTGGAGAGCAGGCCCTGGGCTCTGGGAGGCTCCTCTCTCCCTCCCCTGTCCTTGGAATGTGGGTTCCACTGGTCTTTCCCTCTCAGAGCCTGCTCCAAGGACACGACCTTGAGATGGTGATGGAGTGTTAAGAACACCTATGCGGTACATGTGACTGACCCCGGTTGGGGCCTTTTGATCAACTTTTAAGATTTGGTGTTGGGGCAGGTGCGGGGATGCATTCATCTGGCTGCCGCCCAAGCAGCAAGTTCTCCTTGCTTATTAAACAGGCCACCTACCAGCCTGGCTGGCTGTCCTCTGTGATCTGTTTGGGTAAGGCTGGTTTCACAGTACACCCGAAACAGCATTCTCAGTGCACTTCTGCTATCCATGTGGAGCAGAAAATTGACCTTAAGAAACAGGGCCCTGGGGCGCCTGGGTGGCTCAGTCAGTTGAGCGTCCGACTTTGGCTCAGGTCACGATCTCACGGTTCACAAGCTCAAGCCCGGAGTTGGGCTCTGTGCTGTCAGCTTGGAGCCTGGAACCTGCTTCAGATTCTGTGTCTCCTTCTCTCTCTGCCGCTGCCCTGTTCATGCTCTCTCTCAAAAGTAAGTAACATTACAAATAAATTTTTAAAAAAAGAAAAAGAAACAGGGCCCTAACACGGGAAGCCGGCGGCAGAGCACGGAGTGGGGGCAGAAATGGGCCACGAGAGGGATGATGGAGGGAAAATAAACCGTGTTAAAGGAAAATGAGGGCAACAGGAGCCCTTCGGCCACAGTCGATGTCCATCTATTTGTGAGTCGGACTACTTGCTACAACACAGATTTGTCTGTCTCGCCCACTGAGGGCACTCGCAGGCCATTTGCACAGACGCTTGGAGCGGCCAGCAAGAGTCGTCTGACCTGCACCATCTGGGCCGAGATGCACCGAGAACTCTGCCTCTCTTGTTGTTTCAGCTCTCCGGCTGCGCGTCAGGTCTACTTAGTGTCATGTGTCTCCCGCCCCAGGGTTTGGCTGATCCCCCCGTGTAAAATGGCCCCAAACGCGGTGCACAAGCGTGGTCTTGTGTTCCTGAGAACGAGCAGGCTGGGATGGGCCTCACGGAGAGAACACCAGGGTGAGAGAAGCTTCCTTCGGGCATGAGTGATAGTGCAGTTTTGAGTTCAAGATTAATGAATCAATGATATTAAATGTTTTTCAACAGAGACCCACATCAAGCAAAATTATGTTATTGAGCAAAATGTGGCAGGGGCTAACCTAACCCTGGATTTCCCGGGGGGGGGGGGGGGGGGGGCAATGATTCGCTGATTCAGCATTGGGGAGACTTCACAGGACCCACCTACCTTGAATAATGAGAATTGTATTTGAAAAACTTGTAAGTTTAAGGTGGGGGTGGGGAGGGAAAAGAAGGGTGGGAGAAAATATTTGGGGCCTGTTCATCATGAAATTGAGGGGCAGGGACAATAAGTAAAGGCTGTCTTCAGGTATCAAAGAAAATATAAAGGAGTTCATTTTTAATAAAACTGAACTATCACAAAGACTGGTTTTAGGAAAATAGCAAAATGGGACGCGAAAGCCAAAATCGTCCCAAGTCCCCCTAGGTGAAGATCTACTCCAGGTTTAAAACTGCAGACCCTGGGGTACCTGGGTGGCTCAGCTGGTTAATCGTCTGACTTCGGCTCAGGTCACGATCTCATGGTTCGAGCCCCACATCAGGCTCTGCTGACAGCTCGGAGGCTGGACCCTCCGAGGCTGGACAGCTTCGGATTCTGTGTCTCCCTCTCTGCCCCTCCTCTGCTCTCGCGCGCGCGCGCTCTCTCTCTCTCTCTCTCCCTCTCGCTCAAAAAATAAAATACGCATTAAAATAAATAAATAAATAAAATAAAATTGCAGACCCTGATTTTCTTTGGTGATTCTGCAAAAAAGCGCTGAGCCTATCAATCACTTCAGGCCTTTCCTTTGTTTTCAACCAAAGAAAAGAGAAAAACAATCACCAAAGTAGCTCAAGGGAGCGCCCGGCTGGCTCACTTGGTAGAGACTCTTCATCTCGGGGTTGTGAGTTTGAGCCCCGTGTTGGGCGTACAGATTACTAAAACTTTTTTTTTTAAGTAACTCAAATAATCTCTATTTCAAGTACTTTCTACTTCAACAGTGAAGAGAGTGTGCCAAACTGCACAGCTGCTAACAACAAAATGTGATAACCTGTTTAGAGCAGAATAAAATTAGCATGTTTCTCCCTTAGGATTTAACAGGGTGTTACTGGAGATGGTCTGAAAGTAGCCCCAAACTTTAATAAGCTTTAAACGGAATCCAAATGAGAGTGTGATGACAAGAGAGAACAGGAAAAATTGGGATAACTTCGTAAGACTGGCAGAAGACAGTATTTCATGAATTGAATCTAAAATGGAACGATGAAAAAACATGCTCCTGAGTGGGCGTTCTGATTGACAACCCCTCCGTCATGGAAAAATGTTGAGAACCTGAGTTCAGTGCATCCATGTCAAACCCCTGGGTGGGGTTCTTGCTCAAGCAGCCAATGTTACATGGCTTGATAACATCAATCTTTCAGTCTTCAAACCTGCTACTTCATTATGTTGATACATGTCGAAATGTACCTAATGGAAGAATTTAGCCTCTATTTTTTCATCAGTGGCAACAACAAAAGGAATATAAGGATCTTAGAAACAGTGTGTAATAAGATAGAATGTTCTGGTAACACTGGTCTATACACAAACACCAAAAAGATTCAGATTCAACAGCCATTGAACCTGTTTGATAGGTTTTTTTATTTTTTATGTTTGGGAGAAAGAGAGAGAAAAGAGAGAGAGCATAGGCGCGGGAAGGGTAAAGGGAGAATCCCAAGCAGGCCCCACGCTCAGCCCAACACAGGCTGGATCTCACCGAACTATGAGATCATGACCTGAGCTGAAATCAAGAGTCAGACACTTAACCCACTGAGCCACCCGGGTAGCCCCAGGGAGAGCTTTGTACTAAGAGAGTCGCGTGTATTTTTAAATGATTTTGAAGGACTCTACCTTTTCTAACTCACAATATCTGTAAGAGTGGATACTAACATTATCATCCCACCCTTTTTTTTAAAGTGAGTAAACAAATAGAGGAAAATTAAATGATTTGCTCACAACTACAAAACAACTTCATGGCAGAATCAAGAATAAAGAAAACAGGAGCGCCTAGGTGGCTCAGTCAGTTGAGCGTCCAGCTTCGGCTCAGGTACATGATCTCTCGGCGTGTGGGTTCGAGCCCCACGTCGGGCTCTGTGCTGACAGCTCAGAGCCTGGAGCCTGCCTCGGATTCTGGGTCTCCCTCTCTCTCTGCTCCTCCCCTGCTCGCACTCTCTCTCTCAAAAATAAATCAACGTTAAAAAAATAACGAAAACTGCCACTGTTTTCCAGTGATTTTCCAGCACGCTGTTCGTTAGCCTTCACGCTAGCATGTTACAAACAATGAGTATCACGTATTTCTCTTTATGTTCTAAAGAGAAACGGCTTCTTTGACTGGATCCACTTGAATAACCGGAAAAGGAACAAGCCAATTTTTATGGTTCGTTTTCTCCAACTGATTTAACAAGATTGGAATGGGTGAGAAGTAGTATTTATTGCTACAAGTTACAAGAGGGTGGAAACAAATAGTCTTACAATTTGTCGGAAGCAAGACAAAGTTTACTGGCATTTGGAGGAAAAGACAGCAACACGGGAGGAAATAACTAAACAAGAAGGTATCTAGACAAAGGCACAGCATTCCACAACCGCTTCATACTCTGTGCACAGGCCAGCCCTCTCAGAGAGGAGGGAGGTTAAACAAAATAAGGCTTACGTTAGGAGCTGATATTAATACCGTTACTATTATTCTGTCTTACAACAAAAGGTGCTATAAAATCCCTCTGGAGGAAGAAAAGTGCCACACAAAGCCTGTATTAACAAAGAAAAGCAAAAAAGCAATTAAGACCCAGCTATCCCTTTGACATCCCTCAGAGGAATACCCGCGGTGCAAAAGCAGCGTTTCAAACTCTGCAAAAGGAGGCTTCGACTGGAACGTGGACTTTGAGGTTAAAGATACATTTTGCAGGAAGAGTTGAGAGCTAGCGCAAAGAGACCCTTGCAGTCGGTAACTAAGTGGAGGAAAGGCCTAATTTTTCACTAGGTCGTAATCATTCTCTTTGGGAAGAAGTGCTTTATCTTGAGACGAATGATTCCGGTTTTTGTGATATGGTTCATGCTTTTAAACTGCAGTTGGGTCACGCTTGATGCTGAATTATGTAATGTCGGATAATAACAGCCTGCCAAGAGAGAACCCCATTAGATCATTGGAGCTGTTTTTACAAGAAGCATGTCGCTGGGCTCCCTTACGGCCTTTTCCCATCGGCCGTACGACACTGAGCTCGTCTGATCATGTATTATCCTTTCTCAGATAAAGTCATGTTACAGGCATTGTTTTTTGAAAGAGGATTTCAAACTAGTCCTTCAGGCATTTAAAAAATCTTCATATAAAAGTCCACTTCTTTAATACAGAAGAACAAACATTTTTCCTTTAAAAAAAAATCTCATTTTTAAGCCAAAATAACTTACAACTTGCTGAAATACCCTTTTGAACGGTTCAGTGCTTATTTCAGATACATGGAGCTGTATTTTCTGCACGTCTTCAGAAATTCAAGATACTGAAACAAAACAGTTAACTCTAAGATGACATGACGATACAATGCTGGCTCAGTGACTAGGTCAAGGTCTAAGTCTTAAGGGATTAAAAAAAAAAAACTGATACCATCCCAGCTATATAGTTTTATATTATGTACATATTAACAATCTATTCAGTGATTTAAAAAAAAGACAGAAATTTCATAAAACTATTTCAAAATTCAGAGCATAAAAGTGTAGAGAAACAAAACATGTAATATGTAATATACAGTCTATCCCATTTGGCAATGTGTAAATTATGTTGAGAGAGAAAAACTTATCTACAAATAGAACAGAACCAAAGGAAATCTGATCTAAGAAGGGCTCTCAGGTCCACAGCTCTTCAGTTCTTCCAAATTTGTAGATCAGAGTGCTAGAAAGATATTAAAATAAATCATGAGGAAAAAACACAGGGAATGAGCAACAGTGGATTCATCTTCTAAATATGCTTTGACAGGTACCTCACTCGTTCCTCTGTTATCAATTTCTAAAAATAAAGACTGCAGGGGTGCCTGCGTCGCTCAGTAGTTCAAGCGTCTGACTGCTGATTTCAGCTCAGGTCATGACCCCAGGGTCGTGGGATCGAGCCCCACCTTGAGTTCCAGGCTTGGCGTGAAGCCTATTTGGGATTCTCTCTCTCTCTCTCTCTCTCTCTCCCCCTCTCTCTGCCTCTCTCCCACTTGCATGTGCATGCTCGCTCTCTCTCAAAATAAATCAACTTAAAAAAAATAAAAATAAAAATAAAAATAAAGACTGCAATGGTGCTGGGTCTGAATGTGTTTGTTTTGTACAGCAGTTTGTTGACCTTGATGGCGAAGCTTGATTACACTTTATTAAAGCCTGGAAAGTTATTGGATAGGAAACTTGTAAGGCAAAGAGGCATTTCTTACAGTAGCAGGCATTAGGGCCCCTTTATATTGCTAGGATTCTACCACACCTGAGCTACAGTAACTGAAGAATCCTGAAACAGGCCATGCTGTAATTCTTCGTTCATTTAACATATAATTACTGTACCCTGAGGACTGGCTAGGCAGCAGGCTCTTGGCTAAGTGCCAGGAACGTATGAGTCAAAGCAAGGCAAAGCAATAATAGAGCTGAGAGCCTGAGGGAGATAATCAAATTCCAACAGAAAAAAAAAAAAAAATGCTGTAAAGGCGAGGAACCTGATACCAAGAGAGTGAATTATAAGGAGCTGACCGTTTTAGAGCCGTCAAGGTCTTCCTGAAAAAGTGGAGAGTGAGCTGAGATTTAAACGAAGAGTGGGAATGGCCTGAGCGAAGTACAGGGGAAAAAAGGAGAGGAGCAGACAGTGGGGACACTCTGGGACTATAAGGTGAGTTGTGGGCACGCTGGATGTATTGGATTTGAAGTGTCAGCCACCCAAGAGGGGAGGAGTAGGAATCTGAACACACGGTTCAGGCGTGGAGACAGCCATCTGTGACTCATCGGAATATACGCAATAACTAGAGTCCTGAGCATGAAGGAGCTCACCTAGAAAGACAAGAGGCGTGGAATGGAGCCTTAAGAAACCTCAAAAGTCAGTGGCCAGTGGGTGGAGGGCCAACGGCAAAAGGAGGCAGAGGAAGGGTAGCCAGCCACGTAAGAGCTGTACTCCGGCACTTAGAAAGACCCAGCATATGGGAAAACTGGACAGCAACATGCAGAAGAATGAACCTGGGCCACTTTCTTATACCAGACATAAAAATAAACTCAAAATGGATGAAAAACCTAAATGTAAGACAGGAAGCCATCAAAAAAAATCCTCGAGGAGAAAGCAGGCAAAAACCTCTTTGATCTTGGCCGCAGCAACTTCTTACTCAACACGTCTCCGGAGGCAAGGGAAACAAAAGCAAACATGAACTACTGGGATCCCATCAAAATAAAAAGCTTCTGCACAACGAAGGAAACTATCAGCAAAACTAAAAGGCAACCGACAGAACAGGAGAAGATATTTGCAAATGACACATCAGATAAAGCGTTAGTATCCAAAATCTATAAAGAACTTATCAAACTCAACACCCAAAAAACAAATAATCCAGTGAAGAAATGGGCAAAAGACACAAATAGACACTTCTCCAAGGAAGACATCTAGATGGCCAAGCAACACATGAAAAAACACTCAACGTCACTCATCATCAGGGAAATACAAATCAAAACCACGATAAGATACCACCTCACACCTGTCAGAATGGCTAACGTGAACAACTCAGGCAACAGATGTTGGCAAGGATGCGGAGAAAGAGGATCTCTTTTGCATTGTTGGTGGCAATGCAAGCTGGTGCAGCCACTCTGGGAAACAGTATGGAGGTTCCTCAAAAAACTAAAAATAGAACTACCCTACGACCCAGCAATTGCACTTCTAGGTATTTATCCACGGGATACAGGTGTGCTGTGTCAAAGGGACACATGCACCCCCATGTTTATAGCAGCACTATCAACAATAGCCAAAGTATGGAAAGAGCCCCACATGTCCATCGAGGGATGAATGGATAAAGAAAATGTGGTATATATATATATACAACGGAGTATACTCAGCAATCAAAAAGAATGAAATCTTGCCATTTGCAACTCCGTAGATGGAACTGGAGGGTATTATGCTAAGTGAAACTAGTCAGTCAGAGAAAGACAAAAATCATAGGACTTCACTCATATGACGACTTTAAGAGACAAAACAGATGAACCTAAGGGAAGGGAAACAAAAAGAATATAAAAACAGGGAGGCAGACAAAACAGAAGAGACTCATAAATATGAAGAACAAACTGAGGGTTACCAGAGGGGGTGTGGGAGGGGGATGGGTTAAATGGGGGAGGGGCACTAAGGAATCTACTCCTGAAATCACTGTTGCACTAGATGCTAATTTGGATAGAAAGAAAGAAAGAAAGAAAGAAAGAAAGAAAGAAAGAAAGAAAGACCCAGCACAGAGGAAGCACACGGCTGGCTGATTACCTTGCCAGGCTCTGAGCAGAACGCATAGTTGATGCAGTAGCCACAGCCCGCATGAGCACAGGCCTTTACACAGGCAAGGTTTCTGTTCGCCCGAAACTGCCCTTTCATGTGCCACAAAGGGCTGAATCTGAATTTAAATTTGATCTCTAAACACTGCCTTGAGATGTCTCCATGAAAACTTAATTGTATCCCCAGAAGGTTGCTGGTCACGTGCCAAGAAACACAGCACAAGAGAGCAGAAACTGTCAAAACATCTTTCAAAATCATGAAGGTCCAGGCCACAGCGCGGTAAGAGAGCAGAGGACGGCGATCTCCCTAAACGGAGGAAACGGGGCTGAGAGTTCAGGGAGGCCAAAGAGGTCAAAGAGCTGGAGTTTGTGAGGCAGAGCACAGACAGCTGAAGAGACAGGGAGCTGGGGAGAGGCACAGGAGGCCCCCCTGGAGTCTTCTGCTGAGTACTGATCAGTAGACGAACGTGAGCAAAGGACCCAAGAGAAGGGAAAGAACAACCCCCAGAGCTGTCACAGGGCTGGGAAGACGTTCCAATCTCCTAAGCGGAGTGGACAGCCTCACGATACACGGAGCATGAAATGTATCGCCTTAGTGAGGGGACAAATCAATCCTAGACTGGGGCTGCTCTCGTTCTGCCCACCAAAGCTTACAAAAGCAAGACTCCAAAGGGTCAAACTGTTTCCACATGACCTAACTGCACCCAGGACAAAGCTCAAAAATATTTAAAGGGATGCCAAAATATCCAGCCCCCCACCAGCTGTATGCGAAGAAGCAAACAGGAGGAAAGAGACCCAAAATGAAGAGAAAGTAGAAATAATCAATAGGAACAGACTCAGAACTGACACAAGGAGATGACCATTGAAATAAGATATAAACAGGGGCGCCTGGATGGCTCAGCTCAGTGGGTTGAGCGTCTGACTTCGGCTCAGGTCATGATCTCACGGTTCGTGAGTTCGAGCCCCACATCGGGCTCTGTGCTGACAGCTCAGAGCCTGGAGCCTGCTTTGGTTTCTGTGTCTCCCTCTGTCTCTGCCTCTCTCTCTCTGAAAAATAAACATTAAACAAATTTAAAAAAAAGAAATAGAAATAAACATACTTCGTATGTTAAAGGAGGTGAAGGAGAGCATGAGCATGTGAAGAAGAAATCCGGAAAATCAAGCTAATGGAGACGACAAACACATGTCTGAGACGAAAGATCCACTGGATGGATGGGAGGAGTAGACACTGCAGAAGAGATCAGTGAACTTCAAGACGTAACAACAGAAAGTAACCCAAATGAAACACAGAAAGAAAACAAAAACCCCTAAGCATTAGTGAGTGTGGGACGACTTGAGCAGCCCGACATACACGTGCCTGGAATCCAAAGAGAATGGGATGGACAGAAAAAAAATCTCTGAAGAAACCATGGCTGAATGCAAATTTGATGAACATGAAACCCACAGATCCAAGAAACTCTATGAACTCCAACAGAATAAATACGAAGAAAACTACATCACAGCACAGCATAATCAGATTCCTTAAAAACAGTGACAGAAACAAAGTCCTTCAAGGCTCAGATCTTCATGATTTTGGCAGGTGGGGGGGGGGGATACATTTATAAATGATGCCTAAAATACCTATCTTACCTTAAGAGACATTTGTTCTGAAATGCACAGGATCTGAGCTTCATTTTAGGGTTTGTTTTTAGAAGAGTGCCCCTAAAGAATACTTTTAATATTGTTTTATTTTTATACTTACTTTTAGTTGAATTTTAAAAACTTAATTAAAAAAAATCCAATCTCCTGACCAGGTTTTGTATATGACATGCATGATATGTATTAATTCTGATTTCTTGCTGTTTTTCTAAGTTTATTTCTTTTGAGAGAGTGAGCGAGCACGCAAGCACGAGTGGGGAGGGGCAGAGAGAGGGAGAGAGAGAACCCCAGTGCAGAGCCTGACACAGGGCTCGATCTCAGGAACCATGAGATCATGACCTGAGCCAAAATCAGGAGTAAGATGCTTGACTGAGCCACCTAGGTGCCCCTGTTTTTCTTTTTTTAATAACGATTCTTGATACGTTTTTTTTTTAACAGGCTGTGGAAGCAGTAGTCTGGGTTCAAATCCCGGCTCTGCAATTACTAGCTGGGTGTCCAGTAAGCTCTGAGCCTTATTTCCTCATCCATAAAACAGGAACACCACCTGGTCCGTAAGTATTAAGTATTTAAGACACTTCAGTGGGAATTACAAAAGCAACATATATAAATCATCCATCTGAGCTCTCTGCTCATAGCAGGACCCCAATTAAATGGTTTTATGTAGGCCCTTAGACAACAGTGGAATTGTCACCTTTTAAAAGTTCTATACACTGTAATTGATTCAAGGGATTATATGTGTTCCATTCCGTATGTTGCTCTTAAAATGACGTGACATTTCTGTCAATGTTTTAGGTGTGATCAAAAAATTAGGCAACTTACCTAAAAAATATAAGTGCATTTTGAAAAAACACAGCTAGTCCTGGATAAACATCCGTATCTGCACATTCAAAGTAAAACGGGTTAGGAGATTACAAAAGGCGAACGGCAGTAACAAAGCATCTGTGCCGTTCATAATGACGTACTCTGTATAGTATAAAATACAGCTCTCATTCATCAACTCTAAGAAACCTATAATGAAACTGAAGTAGGAGAATGCCAATCTCATTCTCCCAAAACAAAGGATTGTTCTCACTGTGGATAACGGACCGTGAACTTAATAGGTTTTCTCTTTCCCCCAAAGTTAACTGCCATGGTTTGAGCTTCACCACAAGTGCTGGGGAAGCAGCAGCTCGTCCCTTTACTTTCCAAGGTCAATACCGTGCTCTCCCCTAGCTGCGGGTTTGCTTCCCACGGTCAGCTGTCGTCCAGAAGCAGATGGTCCTCCCTCTGGCTTATCATCAGGTCAACAGTCGCCTAACACTAGGTCACAATGTCTATGTCATTCCCCTCCTTTCATCTTGTCACACAGACGTTTTATCATCTCCCATTGTCACAAGAACAAGAAGGGGGACTAGTACAGGAGGTTTTAAGAGAGAAACTACATTCACATAACCTGTTACAATATACTGTTATAACTGTTCCATTTTATTATTAGTTACTGTGGTTAATCTCTTACTGTGTCAATTTATAAATTTTATCATAGGTACTTAAATATAGGAAAATCATAGTATATTCAGGGTTCAGTCTTATCCACAGTTTCAGGGGGTCTTGGAACCTGACCCCTGTGGATAAAGTGGGAGACTATAGAAATACCAAACGCTGGAAAGATACACATTAAATTCTTGATGATCTTGTACACTTATTTTCTTTCATGAATTCAGGAGTTTTATTGTGCAAATATGACAGATACAAAATGCTATAAAAATATACAAAAAGATATAAAAACATTATAATTCATCATTCTGTTTTTTCACCAGATCTCCTCTGGAGGAAACAGCTACTATCTTCAAAGGAAGAGAAAAAAAATTGGAAATTACTTGAAGTTTTGTGGATTTTTAACTTTTATGAAACTGTAACTCCTGATTAAAAATATGAGAATTGATGGAAAAACCTTCAATTGTTAGCTTTCAATATCATAGCAAAAAATACAGCAGCATGGTCGAGAGCTCCAAGTCTGAGCCAGATCCCTGGATGTGAATCCTGACTCTACCAGCGACTAAATGTATGACCATGGGCAAACTAGTTACCTTTGATATGCCTTAATTTCCTCATCTGTAAAATGGGCATTTTAACAGCACCTACCCCACAGAGTGTGAGAAATGTGTGACCATGTATAGTGCTTAGAACAGTGCCTGGCCCAGAAAGTGCTATATAAATGTTAGCAGCTATTATGATTAGTAATGGTTCAAGAAAAGCTGTATGGCAAAAGATCTGAAACATGGGTTAGAAATGCTCTCTGAAGTAAAAGCATATTCAGTTTATAAACAGAAAAATGCATATAATGCACACTGCCGTAGAAATAGAAAGATAAGATCCATAACTGAGAAATTTCTCAATGTGCACTAGTTATCTTTTTAAAAATTTTTTTAAATGTTTATTTATTATTGAGAGAGAGAAACAGAGCACGAGAGGGAGAAGGACAGAGAGAGGGAGACACAGAATCTGAAGCAGGCTCCAAATTGTCAGCACAGTGCCCGACATGGGGCTCAAACTCACGAGCCGTGAGATCATGACCTGAGCCACGCCTCAATGTGTACTAGTCCTTTAAAAATTGAGACTGAATTGGGCCACCTGGGTGACAGTCAGTTAAAGCATCCGACTTCGGCTCAGGTCATGATCCCGTGGTTCGAGAGTTTGAGCCCCACGTCGGGTTCTGTGCTGACAGCTCGGAGCCTAGAGCCTGCTTCAGATTCTATGTGTGTGTCTCTCTCTCTGCCCCTCCCCAGCTCATGATCTGTCTCTCTGTCTCAAAAATAATAAATAGACATTAAAAAAATAATAAAATAAAAACTAAGATACGATCAACAAGGGCACAACCTTTACAAACTTAGTACTTCCCGAAACACCTTCCAGAAGTTATGATTTTTGCATATCTTCACAGTAGAAACTGTCAAGTTTCACCTGTTGCTTGAAGTAACTAAGTAGACTTTCCAAGGAAATCACTAATATCACTTAGAGTCAGGGATAAAGTGAACTTAAAACACACTTCCCTATATGATTCCATTTATATGACACAGGCAAATCTACAAATACAGAAAGTAGACGAGGGGTTGCGGGGCTGGTGGAGAAGGTAATGGGGAGTGACTGCTAATGGGTGAGGGGCTTCTTTCTGGAGTGATAAAAATGTTCTAAAATTGAATTATGTAATGATAGCACAATTCTATACTAAAAACACTGAAACATATACTTTAAGTGGGTAAATTACTTGATATGCAAATTATACCTCAATAAAGCTGTTTTTAAAAAAGTGCTTTCCTTCACATGAGATTCATACTAGAACTGCGTACTCCATTAGTATTTTTAATTAACTAAAATAACACCTTTTAGATATATTTCATGAGTGGTATTATTTAAACATCAGTTAACCACTATTCTCTTGTACTGACTTATTTTGTGCCAAGGGAAAGACAAAGATTTCCAAAGATCAAACTATGAGACTTAAGGGGTCCTATCAAGAGTATTAAAAGGTTGGCTGTGGGTAAGGACAAGGAGATGTGATAGTTCAGCAAAGCAATAGATTCCAGAGGGACAGGGATCAGAAGATCAGACGATACGTTAAGTGTTACGTGTTATCTGAAACAGATTCTCGTCTTTGGAGTGAAGGGAGAGAGCCAGTGAAACAGGTTGTTCTGATGCTTCTAGAAGCCCGTGCTGAAACTGGGTCCTGCCTTTCAACTCTACCCTAAAGGAAAGCTGTGGTGCCAGGAGTAGCCAGAAAACAGAACACCTGGGTGGAGCGGGCATGAATGTTTCTTCATAAAGACCACACGCAGGTTTTCAGGCTCGCCCCTAAAATGCTCCCTTATCCCTATGACTGAAACATTGCGGCTGATACTGGGGTTCACACCCCTTATCTGAAATACTTGAGACGAGGTATGTTTTGGAATTCAAATTTTTTCACATTTAAGAATGGTAACATGGGGCATAAATACCACATAGCCCCCGGCTCTGTTTGGACCAGTATCCACAATCAAATAGAACCACATTCCCACAAGAAAACATCTGAATACTTATTCAATGGAATAAAACCATAAGAAGCCCCCTGTCAACTTAGGTCGGGTTTTGCTGCCAAGGTCATAAAAAGCCTTGACTTTCAGCACTCTGTGGATTTTAGAATTGTACATAAGGGACTGCGGACCTGTACAGGTTTCACACTTTACCCAACAACTTCTGTATCTTCACACAGTCATATCTTCAAGCTAAGTGAATAGTTAACTAAATTTTACTCCAGGTAGAGTTAACAGACTAAGCCAAACCTAAAAGACATATCTGGGGGCGCCTGGGTGGCTCAGTCGGTTGAGCGTCCGACTTCAACTCAGGTCATGATCTCACAGTTCGTGGTTTTGAGCCCCACATCAGGCTCGGGGCTGACTGCTTGCTCAGAGACTGGAGCCTGCTTTGGATTCTGTGTCTCCTTGTCTCTCTGCCCCTTCCCGACTCACGCTTTGTCTCCCTCTGTCTCTCAACAATAAATAAATGTAAAAAAAAAAAATTAAAAAAATAAAAAAGACCTATCTGAATCTCTATGAAATAAAGGAGGAAGAAATACTTACTTTGGGTAACATATGCACCAAAAAGAATCCACATGGAAGCAATAAGTGACCCAAACATCAACATGAAACCAATGAACAGCCAAACACGAGCACCTGCATGAAGAACAGGCTTTATGATTTCGCTCATTTCTGCACTCTGTCCTAAGAATGCATAACACTGGAGATACTGTTAACCTAACGTATATTGTGCACGTCAAAGGCAGTCACATATTTGCATACACCTGCTGTAACAATTAACTGAATGACGATTTAAAAAAAAAACAAAAAACTGAAAGGGGTTAAGCCACACCCGGAAAGAGAAAAAAGGAACATTACCTTTCTACTGGCTAGAGAAACTAACAGCCTGGCAAACTAAACTAGGTGAACTTCTACGTAATTATATGACTAAATTGATTAACTGATTAATTAAACCCCCAAGCCATCATTAGCTTTCCAGGAAGAGTAACCTGGAATCCAAGAGCCATTGATTTTAAATAATGTTTTATTCGTGTGAACATTTATTCAGTAAACATGACTAAAATAGTACTTCTGGCAGTAACTTTAACTTTGTTAAGGATTTAAATAACACAAGCTTTTTTTCAAAGTGCATTAAAAACCTTCTGTATAATCATAACTAGTCCTATATAAAGAGACTGTTCTTTTCTGCTAATAAATCCCTCTTCTGCCAACATACATTAACGACTCGAAGAGCCTTTACCTGTTCTTCCTAAACAGCCGCTTTCATAGCTGTCACCTCTCACCTGAGCATTGGACACAGCATTTATCCTGGAACAACACAAAATCACCTAATAAGCTTTCATGCTGCTAGTATATTCACAGATATTTACATTCATTTAGAAGAGAAACATTTCCTACTTAAAGTCACTACCTGAATAACTGAACATATCTTTTAACTTCATGAATATCCTAGCGGAGAGAAATACTACATGCCTCGTATTTACCTAAACTACACCCAGAAGACAGACTTAATTTTTAGAGATTACTATCATTTGTCTCCAGAGATTACGAAAGACGGGCCAATTTTCTGATTTCTTTGACTATTTTAATTTATACATGAATGACTCAGTGTGAGTTATAGTTTAAGGTTCTCATTATAATCAAGAGTTGAGTTTCTGTGCTAAAAGTCAAGTGATGTTCTCTGAACCATTTCTCAAACTCAGACATTTGGTCTATCTGTAATTAGTAGGCCCACTTTATTCAGCTTAACATTTTTGTTAGAGTAAGGTGTGTTTATAGTAGAAATGTAGCCTTTTCTTAGCATCTTTACTGGAGTAAGTATTTCCATCTTCAGCAATTTAACTTTTATAACTCCTCACAGTATAAGGAAATTATATAATCTTAACATAGTTTTTAAAATTAATAAAAGACATCCATGGAAAGTTTCCAAACCCTTTCATGAAGTGAGATTTAACAGATAAACCCACAAATGATTTAATAAAAAAGAAAAGCCATAGAGCAGTCTCATTGGAGGCCAATCCTGCCCTTCCCCCAGCTACTGGCAAACACAGGTAAGCAACACATTAAAAAAAAATTATACTCCATGTTAAAAGTTGCACGTGTTACAATACTGAAGAACGATCCACTATGAAAAAATCTAGAAATGTAACATTTTTTATTACATCTAAGATGCCACTCATCTTTTAAGATGCACGATTATTTTTTTTCACCACCAAGAGAAAAAAGATTATCAACTGTAATTATAAGATACCACTGACTATAAGAAGCACCCTGATATTCAGATACTCAAATATAAAAAACATTCTTGGTACTGATAAGTACTAATTGACCAGTTTAACAACATTATAAGGAGAAAAATCACGCTATAACCTTTATGGGTGCTAAAATGATAGTGATTAAATCCAACACTCATTCTTGACAAAAAAATCTTAATACAATGGGGAAAAAATATATATCTTTATGTTAAAGATGGATTCGTCACCATCGATTAAATTAAAAGGTTATCCCAGACAGCAGTAAACTATAAGGAAAAAATGTTTTTAGGAAAATGATCTTGAATTGAGAATTACCTTCATACTTACATGAAGAAAGCCAATGTAGAAAACACGCCACATGTGTGAAAGGCGTGGTTCAACTGCTCTGGCTTCGGGTACACCACAGCAGCGTCAATCATTATCCACCAACCTGTAAAAAACTTGCAAAAGAGTCCAAGGCATTAGACTAACGCTAATCCTTCGGCTTGGCATGACACTTGATCTTTAACATTCCTGTATTCCTACAGACCATACAATATTTCTAGATTGAGCTCTGGATATTGAAGTAGAAAAAATAAGAATCACTTGTTTACTTACTCTTGGTAGCATATGAGGTGAAGTTACCTAATCAAATCTGTGTAAGATTCTGAAGTTCTCTCAGTGCAAGATAAAGCAAAAAATTGTTACATGGGACGAATTAGCCGCTTCTTTCATCCCCCATAATTCTGTGCATGGAAGCTCTCTTAACTAACCTCTAGCTAACCAGATCCTGATTACCTGACATGTCTCATTCTCTCTAGAAAACATTCCTTTTTAATATGCCCGCGCTCTTTTGCTTCCACAAATGAGCTGTGTGCTTACCAAGGGTCAGTTTATCGTTTTAACCAATCATGTAATCTCATTAAATACTGTGTAACTGACTGAACAGGAAGGAGTAGGTCAAATGTGATGTTTCTATGTAAGCTACGCTGAAAAGACTTAGAGAAGTTGCTAAAGAATTCCACAGACATGGGGCGCCTGGGTGGCTCAGTCGGTTGGGCGTCCGACTTCAGCTCAGGTCACGATCTCGCGGTCCGTAAGTTCGAGCCCCGCGTCAGGCTCTTGGCTGATGGCTCAGAGCCTGGAGCCTGTTTCCGATTCTGTGTCTCCCTCTCTCTCTGCCCCTCCCCCGTTCATGCTCTGTCTCTCTCTGTCTCAAAAATAAATAAATGTTAAAAAAAAATTTTTTTTTAAAAAATAAAGAATTCCACAGACAAATTACTTGCAGGGAACACGACCATAAAGTACAAGAAAAGACTTAGAAGCATCACAGTTATCTTTACTTCCTGCTCTGGGTTATTATTTTTTTTTTCTATTGGACTTCAGGTGTAGAACCGTATACTGGAAGAGATAAATTTTTAAAAATGTAGTCGATACTGAAATTTGCTTCGATACTGAAATTTGCTTCAGAAATTCGGCGAGGGCAGGGCGTGATTGATGGAATGCTGAAGCAAGACCGGTGGAGATAGTCTTTGAAGCTGGATGGTTAAGAACGTGGGTTGAGCAGGGCTCTTTTACTATTCTCCCTATTCTTGTTTACTGTACATGCTCGATGTTTTTTATAATAAAAAGTTGAGGGGCACCTGGGTGGCTCAGTCGGTTAAGCGTCCGACTTCGGCTCAGGTCACGATCTCATGGTTCGTGGTTCGAGCCCCGCGTCGGGCTCTGTGCTGACAGCTCGGAGCCTGGAGCCTGCTTCCGATTCTGTGTCCCCCTCTCTCTCTGCCCTTCCCCTGCTCGTGCTCGCCCTCCTTCTCTCTCTCTCTCTGTCTCTCAAAAATAAATAAACCTTAAAAAAAATTTTTTTTAAGTTGAGAAAGAAAAACTGTTGGAAGAAAATTGGGCAAGAGTTTCTTCCACAAATTTCTTCCTCTCACTCTCCGTCAGTGCTGCAGTTGGGGACAAGGAGCTGGTGCCCCTTCCCTAGAGCACTGCAGGGCTTCTGGCTCGGCCCCAGGTCCTTACTGCTGTCTACACATCCTGAACCTCAGTGAGTCACGACACTATTTGGTTATCAAATTCTCCGAGCCTGACGAGCTTAAAGGACGTATACGTCTTGTATCATTAACTTAAAAATGCTACTGCCTACAATAATTGTATTATCACTTGAAGAAAAGGTACCAAGTTTAACGAATTTATAAAATCAAATGAACCCAGGGCCTATCATGTTTTGTTCAGTAATATCTAGAACTCGAATTAATTATTGATACAAAATAATAGTGAAATAAATAGTTCTGAAAGGGTATTCAGGGCCCAAAGGAAGCGACATTAATTTTCAGGGCAAAAAATGAAGCAGAAATGTCACCAACCACACTTTTTCACTTACCAGTACACCCGCCACCACAGAAGCCACGGCATTTCTTCTCTCACTCCAGTCAATACATTCACATTCTGGCCAACGGAAGTTATCTAGGAAGCCTGCCATGTTCACCCCGTAAGCATGGATTTTTCATTAAACTCTGTATTCTACAAATAAAAAGACAAAAAAAAAAAAAATCAATCGAAGAAAATGTTTTTATGTAGTGAAATATCTTTTCCTTTCTTAAAGTTTTGAACACAAATTTGCTTTCTGTCCAAACCTATGATTACAAAAAAAAAAAAAAAATTAAATACTTCAATGAATACCTATGATCATGTACGGAGGACTGTGTTGGGACACAAGGGGGAGCCTACTATTTACGAAACGAGTCCGATGGTTTTGAAACACGTCTGCCAAGTTCTCTGACGCTTCCACTTCACTGAGAAGTGAATCTATGTCCCTCCCCTGAGTTTGGGCCACCAATAAAAACGGGTGGACCAACAGAGTAGAGGAAGTGATACTGGGTCGCTTCTGCCATACAGCTTCTAGGAGTAGATAATAAAAGGCAGCGAGTGCAGTTTGTAGCTCATTTTCTAGAACACTAACACCAGAGTTCTGAGTTGCCATGTAAAGGGTCCAAGGTCACGATGCTGTGAGGAGAGCGTGTATAGGGATTCAGGCCCACAGCTCCCAGACACCAGCTGGCATCGACTGCCAGGTGTGTGAGCAGCCACTTCTGGGTGACTCATGTTCCGGCTACTGCATTACTCCCAGACTTTACGCTTTACGAAGCCCCAGGTATACGGTGCAGACACACCATCCTGGCTCTGCCCTTTGCCAATTCCTGACCCACAGAAACCATAAGCAGAATAAAATGGCTACTTTAAACTACTAAGTTTTGGAGTTGTCAAGAATGCAGCAATCGATAACTGGAAGGAGACAAATCATGTGCATAAAGAACTATAAGGGTACATACAACATGTTGTGAGAATTTTCAAGAAGAGTACGTTTAGATGAGGTGATCCAGGAACACCTTAAATTCCAAAAAGACAGGGGAAAAAACCCACAACTATTTGAAAGTACTGAAGAGTGCTGAAAAGCGGGCAGAAACTGGAGGCAATTTAACCCAGGAAAGAAAACACAGTAAGACCCACTTTTATGCAGCTTTTCCCCCTGAAGAACCCCTAGTCCCCCCACTCCCACCCCAGTGATCTCTGTGGTACATCATGGCTAAAACCTGAGCAAAAATGCCACAGTCTTTTTGGCTTGAGGTATCAGAGGATGGAGTTTAGGATTATTAGAGCAGCTGGGAACTGAAAGAGGAAATTTTAGAAAGGGGCGAGTCACAGGAAGAAGCCCCAAACACTTTAATATAAACTTTCTTGGGGTGCCTGGGTGGCGCAGTCGGTTAAGCGTCCGAC